GCTATTTTCAAAAAAAAAATCGATTTTATATCTATATTAGTATTTTTTATCAATTTTAATACGTTGATATGTTTTAAAATGCAATTCAAAGCATTTTTGGTTTCGATCATAGTAGGCTATTTTCAAAAAAAATATTGATTTTATATCTATATTAGTATTTTTTATCAATTTTAATACGTTGATATGATTTAAAATGCAATTTAAAGCATTTTTGGTTTTGATCATAGTAGGCTATTTTCAAAAAAAAAAATCGATTTTATATCTATATTAGTATTTTTTATCAATTTTAATACGTTGATATGTTTTAAAATGCAATTTAAAGCATTTTTGGTTTCGATCATTGTAGGCTATTTTCAAAAAAAAAATGGTTTTTTATATCTATATCAGCATTTTTTATCAATTTTAATACGTGGAAATGTTTTAAAATGCATTTTAAAGCATTTTTGGTTTTGGTCATAGTAGGCTATTTTCAAAATGCAATTTAAAGCATTTTTGGTTTTGATCATAGTAGGCTATTTTCAAAAAAAAAAATCGATTTTATATCTATATTAGTATTTTTTATCAATTTTAATACGTTGATATGTTTTAAAATGCAATTCAAAGCATTTTTGGTTTCGATCATAGTAGGCTATTTTCAAAAAAAAAAATCGATTTTATATCTATATTAGTATTTTTTATCAATTTTAATACGTTGATATGTTTTAAAATGCAATTCAAAGCATTTTTGGTTTCGATCATAGTAGGCTATTTTCAAAAAAAATATTGATTTTATATCTATATTAGTATTTTTTATCAATTTTAATACGTTGATATGATTTAAAATGCAATTTAAAGCATTTTTGGTTTTGATCATAGTAGGCTATTTTCAAAAAAAAAAATCGATTTTATATCTATATTAGTATTTTTTATCAATTTTAATACGTTGATATGTTTTAAAATGCAATTCAAAGCATTTTTGGTTTCGATCATAGTAGGCTATTTTCAAAAAAAATATTGATTTTATATCTTTATTAGTATTTTTTATCAATTTTAATACGTTGATATGATTTAAAATGCAATTTAAAGCATTTTTGGTTTTGATCATAGTAGGCTATTTTCAAAAAAAAAAATCGATTTTATATCTATATTAGTATTTTTTATCAATTTTAATACGTTGATATGTTTTAAAATGCAATTTAAAGCATTTTTGGTATCGATCATAGTAGGCTATTTTCAAAAAAAAAAATGGTTTTTTATATCTATATCAGCATTTTTTATCAATTTTAATACGTGGAAATGTTTTAAAATGCATTTTAAAGCATTTTTGGTTTTGGTCATAGTAGGCTATTTTCAAAAAAAAAAATCGATTTTATATCTATATTAGCATTCTTTATCATTTATAATACCTAGATATGTTTAAAAATGCATTTTAAAGCATTTTTGGTATCGATCATAGTAGGCTATTTTCAAAAAAAAAATCGATTTTATATTTTTATAAAATCTTTATTCACTAATTTTCGTTTTGTGATATATATAAAAGAACTGTAATCTGCTGTAATCTAACATAAGTCAAATGCGAAAGCTAGTGACTTTCTACGTAAGTCGTTTTTTTTTAAATTAATTCTATTTTTCAGTATATAAATCGCTGTCATGATCAGTTCAATGAAGTTGTTCAAGAGGTCAACAATGAAGGAACGAATTAAGAAATTGCCAGCAAAGTCAGGGATAACATGTCAGGAAATTGAAGTCATTGAAAATAAAGCCACAATGAATGATCACGAAATGAAGTAGCTGCAGATGAGCTCATCCAAGGAGGAAATGAAGGAGATCATTCCATTGATAAAGGCTTAAAGAAGAAAACAAATTTCTTCAACAAGTCTGTGAAAAATGTCCGCAAGTGGGGAAGGTGTTTCTTTTTGAGTTTGCGACTCTGTCATTAATTTAATGGCAATTTTATTTTAAATTAAGGGTGGGATGGGGGGGGGGGGCAATTGGTAAAAGTTTTGGTCGACTGGTTTTTAACGTAGGAATGCTTCAATTTTTCTTTAATTAATCGCTTAGTTCAATTTTTATTTTTTTAAGGGAGGCGTGAGGTTGCTTGTTTTAACATAGGGGGATTATTTTTTTGGAAGCTTTAAGGGGTCACAACCGGACGATTTTTTTCACGTTGTTTGGGGTATGAGGGGGGGGGGGAATAGAATATAATTTAATTTTTTTATAAAAAATATAAAAAATAGCTTCCCGCGGGGTTTATTGTAGGGTTAATTTAATTCCGTTAGATTAGCGCCAAAAAAATTGAAAAATTTTGAAAAAAATCAAGAAAATTCAAAAAAAAAAAAACAAAAAAATTTCTCAAAATCAAATAAATCACAAAATCATAAAAATGAAATAATACCAAAAAATCAAAAAAAAATGAAATAATACCAAAAAATTCAAAAAAAACAAACAAAAGAAATTTATCAAAATCAAAAAATTCACAAAAAACACAAAATCAAAAAAAAAATGAAATAATGCCAAAAAATCATAAAACTAGAAATATGCAAATAAAATTAACAGTCAAAAGTCCAAAATAAGTAAATTTTTAAAATTGAAAACTGCAGTTAACTGAGCAAACAACTGAGACAATTAAAAAGCATTGCCAGTTCAAAATGTTGCACCACGATGTCAATCAAGAGAATGGATGCAAATAGCTCAACTGCAAGTAACTTGAGAGACTCAATGCAACATACTAATTTTGAATTTGGACAAAATATAATATAACATGAATCAACGAATAAACATATACAATATCAACGAGCTAGCGATGCAAAGGATAAATTAGACAAATGCTCAAAGTCAATAGCTGGCAATCAACATGAGTGGTGAACAGTTTTAGTTCTAAGAATAAAAGTAATCATCAATGCGTTCCTAAAAAGTCATCAAAAAATGCCACAGTCAAAATCGTATCGTTACCGAGTCAGCAACATTGAATGGCACAAATGAAGTATAAGACTTTGATGTTCACATAAATTTGGGTACCGACATTAAAATTTCATGAATCATGAAACTGTGTGCAGCATTTCAGCCGTGAATCAAGGTAATAATTTTAAACTGGTTAATTGAAGTTTGTGAGGTGTTTAAACTTGATCGTTATTTGCAGCTAAACAATATTGGTAAAAATCAGCTTCAATTAATTGGCATTACGTGCTTATTTCCCACTTCAAAGTTCCAAGAAATTTAATATCCAAAACTTGATGAGTTTGCATACTTCACAGATTGAGCATGTTCGGAAGAAGAAATTTTACAAGAGATTTTAGTTTAACAAGCACTAAATTACAATCATGGGATGGGAAGCATATACATGCTTTTAAATACAACGACAACCAAAACTGGTGTGTCTTTAAAAGAATGAAATATGGCAATCGTTTAACTATCTACAAGAGGAGTGCGAAGAATCAATCTGATGGATATCCAAATCAAAAAGGAGGGATCATCGTAGCAACAAGTTAACAAGAATCAAGGTATTTCTTTTTTATTGCGTAAAATTTATTTTTGTGTGCACTAAGGAAGAAAACGCCCCACCGTTCTGCCCAATTTTTTTTCGGGACTTAGGATGTTTACAATTTTCTATGGTCAAAAGCTTCTGAACAGTACCAATGTTTTAATTTTTCTACAAGGTTTTTTTCATATAGATGCAGTTAAATCCAACGATACTTGTGTACAGTTTATGTTTGCATTGCCTTTCCATACTCAAAAATTGTAGATGCTAAAATAAGTCATGTACTTGATTAGTATGGAGTCTTAATTCGGCAACAATAGCATCATATGCAAAATTGATAAAGTAATACTTTTATTAATCGCTTGAAAAAGAGCCTGGGCTACTGGAAATAATCTTAACAAAGATCCAGTCTCTGAGAAGATTGGAGAATTTGATGAACGCTTAGCAACAAAACCTAAAATTAATCAAGCAGAATCAATCCAAAAAGAAGAAGAAATTCTAATGGTCCAACTGAAAGAAACTTGAGAGATTCAACAAGTCATTCATGTTTGAAATTTGAAAGCTACAAGGAAAAAGGAAGAGAACAAGACATAAAAAGTAAAAACAACAAGTAAAGACCATTGATCATCAGATGACGAAAAATTCGTGGAACGAGCTACGGGAATCAACGTGAGTACAGTTCGAGTTCTAGGAGTAATATTAGTAATCAATATATTGTAACATCCACAGTCAATATAGTCCATGTTATGTGACGCAATCAAGTAAGTAACGTGTGTGTCCATTGCCAATACGTACATAAGCTGATCAACGAACTGTATACAAAAGTATGATACGAAAGGATGAGAAGACATCGCTGAGTAATGATGTGGATATATTTGAAAGCCATTCAAGAATTTAGCTAAGTTTTTTTTATTGCTTTAAATTTATTTTTGCGTGCATAAAAGGAGAATACGCCCCACCATCCTGCTTAATTTTTTGGGGACTTAGGATGTTTATAATTTTCTAGGGTCAAAAGCTTCTGAACAGTACCAATAGTTTAATTATTTCTTTATACTTTTTTTTATATGAATGCATGCATAAATCCAACGATACTTGTGTTCAATTGATGTCAGCATTGCCTTTCCATAATCAATAATTGCAGAAGCTAAAGTAAGTCATGTTCATGGATAGTCTGCAACTGCAAGAAACTTGAAAGTAATCCGTGTGAGGAAAAAATCATTCTTGTTTGAAATTTGAAAGCTACGACATTAAATGTGGTATTTAAATTTAAATATCACAAGTCGCTTTATGATGATTTGTGTCTACCTTCCTTATTAATTTATTTTTCTTGAATGTTCAATCATTTTCATCAATAGTGCTGCTTAAATATATCTTAGTCTAATATTACAGGTAATTTTGCTTAAAACTTATTCAAAATTACCAACATGCTCAAGAAATTTGTTATTCGCATCGCATGTATGTTTAACGGATATCCCGCCTTATATTTAAAAGTCCAAAAGTTAAGAATGATTGCCAGTGAGTCAACGAATATTATTTTAGTGAAGGAAGCGCTCAGAAATTTTCAAAATAAGAAATTATCAATTTTAGGAAAATATTAATATTAAGTAAGTTGTAGTTAAATGGCTGGGATACATGATGGATATTCCGATGAAGCGCTGGATGACGATTACGATGAACTGGACAATTCGCAACGTATACTAGGAACAAGTCGTAACTACAATAATTATCCAATAGATAATTTTTCATACTATAATTCTCCGCGTGATTTAACACTAAATCTCCAGAAAACGCCAACAAGTAGCTTCAAAAGTTATCATCCAGTGTTTGAATCGCCAGAATCTGATGAAGCATCACTAAAACATTACTTATCTGTGTCGGTTTCCGTCATCAGTTTGATTACCGAAAATGTCATCAGCCATCCATTTATAGTCATTAGAAGGCAGGCACAAGTGTATCATAATTCAAGGAGATATCATATTGTACCAGTTAGAATATTTCCAGTCATTGGTCGATTGTATAGACGACAAGGAATATCGCCACTATGGAAAGGTCTAGGAAGTAGTTTATTGACGAGAGGAATGCTGGTTGCTGTTGAGGATGTAAGCATATTGCTCGATAAATCATTAATATATCGTTAATAATTTTGTTTCGATTAATAGATTTTATCGAAATTCACTCCTTGGCCAAAAGAAATAAATTCGAGAACAACTATTAAGCAATTCGGTCAGCATCTCATACTCAAAGCTATTTCTCTCGGTATTGTACTTCCATTCTATTCTGCAAGCTTAGTTGAAACTGTTCAATCGGATATAGCTAGTGAGAAACCCGGAATATTTGATGTTTTTAGAGAAGGAACTGCTCGATGGCTTGCATGGAGTGTTCCTGCAAAAGGAAGAATGCTGCCTGTTTGGGCACTACTTCCGAGTGGGATATGTGTAGGACTTACCAAATATTTATTCAGTGTCATAGTCAAAGGAATTTCCACAAGAATTTTATCGAAACATTATCATAAGAAGGAGGAACAGAAAGGTGCAAAAAGTAGAGATTTGACGACGGTTAATAATGATGTCGAGCTAGCATCTAATCTCATTTCTCTCATCACATCGGAAATACTCTTTTATCCTTTCGAAACAATTTTACATCGCATTCAGCTTCAAGGGACACGAACAATTATCGATAACTTGGATACAGGTAACTCATAACTGCATTATTTATGAATCAATGTCAATAATTGTATGCAATTAAAGACTTTTGTTTTTATTGATGACATATGGCATAGACTTGTGTGCTACTAATGAAGTTGTTCAATTTTTGTGATTCCATGGTTACCAAAAATAATTCAAAATTGCATATAAATGGTCCTATTATTGATAGCCAGCAGTGCTTACAACTTAATCTTTATTCTTGTCTTTCTAGGCACCCAAGTCGTACCAATTTTAACGAGTTATGAAGGCGCTTTTGACTGCTATGTTCAGACAATTCACAGTGAAGGATTTGGTGGCTTATATAAAGGATTTGGGTCTATGATGTTACAATTTGCAGCACATTTAGCAGTCATAAAACTGTCAAAATGGATAATTAACCAAATTTCTGAAATATGCAGTGAAAAAGCACCAACAAAGGTTGCAGAATTTTACAATTTAGAGCAAGCTTCGATATCACAGCAACACGGCTCAACTATTTCAAGATCCTTGTCCTATGTCAGTAGCATTCATGATGAGCCATAAGCTATATTAGTTTCTCTTTCTGTGATATCGTTGCTTTGCATTATAAATTTGGAGTAAATAATTTTTTAGCTTGTGTTATACAAAAATGATAGTTGCACGTTATGTTCTTTAAAATTATTACTTTAAAATATATAAAGAGACTAGAAACTTAGTTTTTATGTCAAAATATTCTAAAATTTATTGCAAATTAGTAACGTAAAATAAATGCACTTTTCAGGTGTTTCCAAAATGGATTGATTGATTGATTTATAGAAAATATTGTCTCTCACACACGTGCTTGTTTATTCGCTGGTGAAATTTGGTGCACGTTTTTCAATAAATGCCAACATTCCTTCCTTTTGATCCTTAGTTCCGAATGTAGCATGGAAATATCTACGCTCGAATCTCAAACCTTCAGATAGAGTGCTTTCGTATGCTACATTTACAGATTCTTTGCACAAGGCAACAGTTAATGGTGATTGAGCACTGATCTTTTCGGCTAATTTAATAGCTTCACCGACCAATTTATCGGCTGGGAATATCTTGCTGACTAAACCTGATTTTTCTGCTTCTTCAGCAGTGATCATATTTCCTGTTAAACACATTTCCATGGCTTTTGACTTACCAATTGCTCTGGTTAAACGTTGAGTACCTCCTGCACCGGGAATTGTTCCAATATTAATTTCAGGTTGTCCCATTCTTGCCTAAATGAAGTGTTTATTGAACATGTAATCAGCTAGTATTGAACTTAATGCATACCTTATCTCCTGCATAAATAATATCACACATCATTGCCAATTCGCAACCTCCTCCAAGGGCATAGCCTGATAATCACATATTTAAGGAATTAGAGAGTAAATTAAGAGCATCCGGAAAGTTTGATTTTACCGTTAACAGCAGCAATTGTGGGTTTTCTTGTCTGAGCGACTTTAGTCCAATCAGCAAGGAAATTGCCTAAGATACAGTCTGAGTAAGTGTTTCCTTGCATTTCCTTAATATCAGCACCGGCTGCAAATGCCTTTTCACTTCCAGTGATGACAATTGCCCCAACTGTATTGTCAGCATCAAATTCTGTGAGAGCTTGACCAAGTTCAGACATTAAGCCTTTGTTGAGAGCATTCAATGCTTTTGGACGATTTAAAGTGATCATTCCAACATTCTTCTTCTCACCAACAACATCCTTAATGATGAATTGGTAGTTTGAGGCTGTAAACGGACATAAAGTAATTAAAGATCAAAGTTCAGTTTGCATATTTCCAGATCATTTTATAGAATATGATTAAATAACAAGAGAGAGATTTCAAGTGAGCCAGAAAAACAAAAATATTGTGCCTGACATTACATAAAGTAGATAACAGAAGCGATCACACGTCGATAAAAATTATTTTTAACTCGCCATTCTGGATATTATAAATATGCCTGTCATACATACATTCCTTAAATTTTAATATTCTAATGACTTACCAGCTGCACAAAATAGACGATATTGTTGCTTTAATACCGGTGCACGTGATAACGATGATACGATTTTAGTAATTGCAGACATTTTTTTGATTTTTCTGTAGCTAGTAAAATACGTCTAAATGTGACGATGCCGATATACCAAAAAAAATATTAATGAAGTTTTTATAAGAAAATTTGATAACACGAACGTAGAATGGAACGGAGAATGAAAAGAGAGAGCACAGAAATTGGAAACCATTATGAACTTCTGCGTTTTTTTGTGATGCATATGGAAGAGCTGATTATGTTTCAAAACTTTAAGTCACAAAAAACACTTTAAAGGAAGAACCTTTTTTTGAAAAAATCAGGTGAATTTTAAATCTTAGAGTGCTTAAAATTATACCATTTCTATAATTGATAATAATTCAAATTATAAAGTGGCAGATGTGGAAGTTTGTTTAAAGAGAGAGAGAGAGTTGAGAGACATTCAAGGTCAATCAAGAGAGCAAGCTACAAGTCATACTCGGTATTAAAAGTTCGAGTTTATATTCAAAACTTCAAGGTAAGTTATAATATAGTGGGTAGACAGAAACCTTCCGATGGGGTTCGGGATGATTTGCAAATTTCTTGCAAAGAACTGGGATGATTAAGGAATAAAGGATTACTTTTTTTGTCGGGATATTGTTTAATCACTCGGCATTAAAGATCTCACGTTCACTAGTTTATAACGGAAATATCAAATTTAAATTTTAACGGTTAAATCAAATTTAAAAATTATTGTGGTGAAATGTGTGGTGAAAATATGATGGATAAGCTCAGTTGCTGTCGGTAATTTTTCAAATGAAAAGCTAATCAGCAAAAAACATCATAAAATTTTAATCTCAATAGAAGAAGGCAGGCATACAATAAACCTTCTCGCTTGCTCAGAATGCTTTCTATTTGAAGCTCTTTCTTTTGTGAGTTACTACCCTGTTTTTACATTACACGCTTTTATTTAACTCACACTGTTTGTATGTTTCGTGCGTCAAATTTTGTAATCGTTATTTCGATCACTTCTACTGCTCCAATCGAGCTCAAATTTTTTATGCACACTTATTCTCGGTGACAATACAATATTTTAACACTTTGGAACCACAAGAATGCTTAATTATAGTACAATTTAAGTAAAACTTTTTTATATGGGAAAAAATCCAATGTCAAAGACTTATTTTTTTCATTTTAATTGCACTTTATTGCATTTATTGACGACATACTGTCCGATAATAATTCAAATTTTACACTTTTGTATTTGTATACATATGAATTAGTAATTTGTAGGATCAAACTTCTAATCTTCATATCTAGGTTTCAAATAAACTAAGGCTCTCGTTTCGATTTTCTGTGGGCGTGACGTGATACTTTCAGGTCCGTTCTAACAATATTCCATTCGTGGGTAATCTTGTAGCTCTCGTTCCTATTTCTCCCGCTACACTTCAAGTTCCTTACCCGTTCCTTTATCAAAAGTTGCCCAAATGCCAAATTATGGCTTGATCTCGTACATTAAGCAGTCGAAGTATCTAAACTTCCGAAAAAGAACAAATTTGAAAATGGCTGGATTCGAACCGACGACCATCGAGTTACCATCCCAAATTTGAGCCAAGCGCCTTACCTATTCGACCAGCAAGGCACTTAATTGCTTAATAGCATATAATTTTGATTTGTTTAAAATATTATACTTGAAATGCTCAAAAGTCATTTACATGATTCATTAAAGTTTAAATAATATTATTAATTATTAATTATACTATAAATTTGACATCGTTTGAGCATAATATATATGCTTTTAATGCATTAGATTGATTCTTAACACAACGGCTTGACTCTTATAAATATCACTAAATCTTGAATTGTATGTTTACATAAGCGTTAGGTCTTCAATGTTTATAGGTTTGTCTCAGGAGAATGATGAGGTCTTACAAATTATGGTAAATCTGAGACGGTAGACTTGATCTCCATGAGACTAATGTAGAGTTTTCTGTGTGGCACTAAAGATTAAGTCTTACTCTCCTGCTAAATCTAACTAGTTCCTTTGTGTCAAAAAATAATTTGAGATCAAAACGTTAAAAGGTCTTTCGTTTAAATACAAAAGTTGAATTAAGAAATGGATAATTAAACTGAATTAAAATAAATTTTGAAAAATCTAGAGCTAGTTTAAATTTAACGCCCCACGCTTTTATTTTGAGTCATAGAATTTTGTATCAAATTTGAGAACTTAGCAAAAAAAAATAATTTTCTCCTTTTTAGTGCTCTGTAATCGGAAATAAAATGTGCTTTTATAAAAAAAAAGGTTTTTTTGTTATAAGCTAGTAGCTTAGAAGAATAAATAAATGATTTATTTTTGGCTCACTAGTAGCTTAGTAACGAGTAGTAGCTTAGTAAAGAAATTAAACGGCAATGAAAATTTTGAATTTTTTAACTTAATTAAAGAAATTTTGCTATCTTCTCGATTTTATTTCATTAACAATGTCATAAGACATTGTAACTGATACTTAAAAAGTTGAAAAAGATTAATTAAACTTTACTTTTGGTAGTAGCTTAGTAAAGATTACAAAAAATTTTCAAGTTCAAAAAAACTTTACTAAGCTAGTAGCTTAATAACGAGTAGTAGCTTATAACGAAAAAACAGGGTAATCGCATTTTGAAGGCTTGTCTGCAAACTTGATTATCTTGATAAGTTGAATTCAAACACAATTTGCATTTAGTAAAGTAATTTTGGTATGATATTTAAATTGTGGTTCTAATATAATCAAAAGGGAATTCTTAGTCTTCAACTTGGTGAAAGATAAAGGACAATTTCGTCAATTCTTAATTATTTCTGTCTGAAAAACTAAAATCTGAAAGAAAAAATCAAACAAACTCAAATATTTGTAGACGTATGAAATAAAAACAATGCGATGTCATTTTTGTAAAGCAGTCAAGTTTTTCTATATTTTGTCATTTATTTATAATTATTTTTCAAATTTTTCTTATATCTCATTTTTGTACAAACAAACTTCAACAATTTTTTAGTTTTTTTTTTATCTCTTTTTAATCTTAAATAGTTTTTCATCATAATAATAAATGTTCCATTTTTCTTGTGTTGTCTTTGAATTTATCATTGTAAAAACGAAATGACAGACGAAGAGACATAAAATTAAACATTTTATCTGTGTTTTTTTTTTCATCTAAAGAAAATGAGAATTGAAAAAAGAATGAAAGAAAATTTCTCATTGACTAGTTCTTCAGTTTCTTTTATTGTTTTGTCATTCATTGAGTAGTTGGAATCATTTCACATATGGGGAAGAAATATACAAGTAAAATTTCTCATTTGTGAGTGCTTATTTGTGTCATAATTAACTAGAATTATGTATGCAAGTGTTGAGGATGTCCTGTTATGGAGCGCCAAAGCATATAATATAATATGATGAATAAAGGTATTAAAGACAATAACGTAAGGAGGCAATTCACGCGGTGCAATTGAAAACTAAGTTCAACAATTCAAAAAATATAATAAAATACATCTTGTATCTCTTTGCGTTAATTTACTCTCACTTTATAGATTGTCGGGTAAAGTTTCATTATTTTATTTTTTTATATTTTCCTTAAACTTCAAAATAAATTCTTTTTAAATATATTTAAATCTGTATCATGCACATACTTTGACTATAGTAGTTCCATTCTAAAATAAATAGTATTCTCTCTCTGACTTTGGATCTATTACATACTTCATAATCTGTTTGGGTATTAAAAAAGAGGAAAAAAATAACGAGCTCACGTGAAAAACATAAATGCATGGATATATTTACTCATGAATAAAAAGCTTATGGGTTGCTTAGAAATTGATATGTTTATATTAAAGAAGAAGATGAAAAATTTTAATAATTAAAGATTTTTTTCTTTCAAAAGCTAATTTTTGGTCGAAATTTGTAATTCAAGGGACGCATTAGCATTATTTGAATTTTGTTATTACAGAAGAGTGAGAGAAGAGATGAATGTCTCTATGAACTTATGCTTTCTTAATTTTATTTGAAACCTTTTTCATTTTCAATCTTAAATGCTTTGAGATGACACATTAATTTTGGGGAAGTCGACATCACATCAGAAGCATTTCAAATTAATTATTAGAAAAGTTTGTGTTCTTGGTTTTAACTTAATGCTTTTGAGATCTGCAAAATTGAGTTGGTTTGATAAATTTGTTGCAAGGTTTGAATCATGATTTTAATGATTTTTAATCAAGTTTTGATTTTTAATCAAGTTTTAATTCAAAATCAAATCGACAGTTATTCGATCTTGCAACATAATTACTCAAACCAACTCAAAAGCTTTTCTACTTTTGCATCAAATCTTTGTTAATGACAAATTAAGAAAATTTGTATTGCTTATTTTGATATAAATTTTACTTGCATATTTTATTTCTTTGTCGTCAATTTGGTATTTTATCTCATCTTGAAGAAATATCAAAACTAATTTGAGTAAAAAATAATTTCTGAAATGAACTTACGGATTTCTCTTTCGGAAAGTAAAACTATCTTTAATAAAAATTAAAAATTGTGCATTCATCCATTTTTTTTCTTTTATTTTTTATTCAATATTTAGCGATTTTTTTTACTTTTTTTCATGCTAAACTGTATGTGAAAAATTTCATTGAGAAAGAAAAGAGCATTTTTTAATGTATCCTTCATTAAATTTTATGTTATAATTAATTTTTTTCATTTTTCGTGTGTGTTTTTGTGTCACATTTTTTATTTATTTTATGTATTTTAGTACTTTTGTCCTAATAACTCGTTTCAAAAAAGCTTTAAAAATGTTCATTTTTCACTTTATTCTTTGTTTTTATTTCATTAAAAATGGACATTTGAGGAAAATAAAAAAAATCAATTGTTATCAATTTTTTTTGGTGGCGCATAGATAGCAATCATTATGAAGAGAAAAATGGTAGAAAAAATTGCTGAAGAAAAATTCAAATTTTTACATAAAAAGGAATTAAAGTAAATTTTTCACATTTTTTTTCTTCATATAAATTAATAACTTTATCGTTCGTTGTTTCAATGAACTCTTTTTTTTATGCATACGATTTTTTTTTATTTTTTATTTTGGTCAGCGGGCGGAGAAAGAGAAAAATTTCGTCACGATAGAAGTTTTTCCTAATTTGTGTTTTTTGTGGGGAAGTAATTAGCATATCGACCATTTATTTTCGAGGTCGAGAGGCTCGTTAATTTTTAATTTTATTCGCAAAAACTTCAATGCGAGGAA